TTTCTTAATGGTTTAAGCATTTTCTTGGCCCATACATCGGTCTCTTCACATCTAATCTTTTAATCATTATGTATCATTTGAGAAAGCACAGCCACCACCAGCAAAAGAGACACTGCATTGTCCTTCCTTGCTGAACCAGAGATATGGCTGTTCCTCAACACCTCCTCTCCCTCCAGGAGAGAAAATTGTTTAAATTGTTATTACTAGATTTGACGTAGGAACCACATCTGTATGCAGTCCCATCAATTTTATTATTCATTTAACCAGTTCCTTCTTTAAAAAATAAAATTATTTTATGTTGGAGAAGTGTGTTACCCTTTTGAAAGAACTTTAGTCAAGCTACTGTTTTCTCTAAGACTGTTTTGTCAAATTAATTACTTAAATTACTGCTTCCTGTGGCAGCTTCCCCTGAAGGATATAACCTGTAACAATAACTTTCACATTGCTTTTTCTAGTTATGTGATGCCTGCCTGGACATCTTTGTCACTGAGAAAGTATGGTATATCATTATATGTGGATTTTTTTTTTTTTTAATAGATCTCAATGTGTAACATTTAAAAATCTATTGGAAAATCCCCTCCCTCCCACCAATGCTGTTTTGAGGATCCCTCTCTCATTTTCACACTGGTACACAATACTATAATTGTTTACTAAACAGATTTTGTGTATCTGCTCAGTCTTAGCAAATGCCAAACATGCTCCCTCTGTGAAGAGCTTTTTCCTTAAATACTAGTGGTGGGGCTTTATGGGCCCTGGCAGTATTCATTTACCACCAAACTGAGTTAATTGGTACATGAGGAAAAAAGCCCTGATTCAATTGCAGACTAACATCAGTATAACCAAGTGCACTTCATACAGAAAATACCTGGGAAATCAAGACACAAAGGTCTTTTCAAATGGCTACTAAAATAATTGCCATCACCTTTCTCCATAGTTTTTGAAAAGCACATCTCAAACTGTTGCCTGGACTTCAGCCAAAAAGGGAGCCCAAAAGATCATTCTTTGTGAAAATCAACCAAAAATCTGTGCACCAGGCTATCCCTTTTCAGGAACGCAATGCACCTCTAATTGTCCTTGCTACACAGCAGTATCAATAAGCACACAGAAACTGGAGAAGGGCTAATGTTCTGTGGCTGTTTCAATCATGTATGTGCAGCATCCTTGATAACATGCTTTTTGTCTCTGATGAAGGCTAGTATCAGAAGGCTCAGTCCTCGAGGAACAGCATCAGCCCATCCATGTCAGTGGAGCTGCATTTACAACAGCTGAGGAACTGGAAACTTCTTAGTCCTAATGACTCAGTAGCTCAAAGAAAGGAAGTTCTGCAAGATTTTATGAACAACAAAAACCCCCATCAAGTCCTCTTAAAAGTCTTGTCCCTTCTGTTGTATCTTCTTGAAAGGCAGAGAATGCACTACTAGAAAACAGTCCAAATTAGCCAAGTTTAACAATTTTGGAATCAGAAGCAAAGCTGACCTTGCGACTTGAGTACAACTATCAATAGGTGACAATCATCTGAAGCCAAAACATACAGATTTAAAAGCCCAATTCTCTACAGCTTTACTTGGGAGGATGACATTTATTAGCTGTAGTAGACTCAGTTCTCCACATGGTGTAGCCCTTTGAGAAGACGCTGAGCCACAGCATAAAAATTATGGATTAAAAAATACTCCTCTCCATTTTTAATCACCATTTCTATCAATCTATCCATTCAGCATCTTGCTAACATTTCTTTTGTAACAGGTCATTATTGTTCAGAAGAGTCAAATGCCTACAACCTTTAGAACATTTTTTCTGTAGGTCAGAATTTAGTTCTTATACCAGAGATGAGTGGGTTGGCTATACAAGACTTAAGTGCTCAGCAAAAGGATGAAGACAGGGGAATAAAAACCTGGAAGAATGTAAAAGGAGGATGGGATGGGGTGGGGTGGGGGAACATCTTAATAAACAAAGCAAGAGGTTTTTTACCTCTTCCTTTTGCAAGTAGGGTTTGAAACCAGAAGGAATAATTAGGTTAAGTTTTAACCCATGCTATCAAAATACCAGTGCAGTACATTTTACTCAGACAGTGTACACAGTCCCTGTAACTGCTCACAGAACAATCCAAGTTTTTGCTATTTAGCTTTCCAGATTTTTGTTCAACTGCATTTGTCTGCTGAGCTGTGTGGGTAATATGTCACATCATCTACATTGGCATGATATTTTTGTAGTGTGGTGCTCAGCTCTTAGCATCTTTGCAGAAAAAAAATTTTCAGTAGTTCCTTGTGGTATAGTTTTTTTTTTTCCTATTTAAAGATTATACTCACCGTTTCATGCTGAAATGACTTTCCTTAATAAGATTTAATGTTTTTTTTTTTCAACTTGATTCCTAAATTAACATCTTTATATTGATCATTCTTTATCCCCTTTTTACTAAAGTAAGAAAACAAATTATAAAAACACAAACATTCCAGATGAGTAGTTTTTGGAATCATGCACAAATAAAGTAGCAACTATCAACTGAATACTTGGAAACTGAGACGGCTAAAATACAGGCTTTTAAAAATATGACTTATCTATAAACTATTTAATGGTAAACATGTTTGACTATGCAATATCATTAGTCAGGAATTGTTTCAGATATTCTTTGAATATGTGAAAAGAATTCATTTTACACAAGTAAAGCTAAACAAAAAAAAAATCAAATAATGCTTTATGGAATAAAAGTAGGATTATTCTGAAATAACTTTTCTACTTTAAAATGTATAGCAGCTATTTTATATTCCAGGACAACTTTTACCTATAGAACAGCCTGTAGACCTTTAATCACATACACTTTTGAGATTAAATACTTCAAAATATTTTTGAGGATTATATTAATTCAGTCTTTTAAATAAAAGCTAGTACTGGAAAAAAATCCAGTTATTAGGATGCATAATTTGAAGTTGTATGAAAAATGGAAATATACTTAAACATAATATGAATCACTTAGAGCCACAATATACAGAAAAAGATGGCTCCCCCACCCTCTTCTCCCCCCTGCCCCCAAAGAAGACTTCTAGAACAGACTTTTGGTTTTACTTTTTTATTAAGTCCATAAAAGCCAAGGATTTATAAAAAGCACACGCACGTTCATTTACATTAACAGATCAGCAAGAAGCTGCAAACTTTCCTTAGTACAGGAACTATGTCTTTAAGATTGGAAGTAGTAAATAAAACATGACACCAGAACTGACAGATGACAACAGCACCTCTGCTGACAGCTGAATTCCTGGTTTGTTCCTGGGACAAAGGGATATGTGGGGACATGACACTGAAAAACAATTAAAAATCCCTATAGCTTTTGAGAGAACAGCAAAATTGGTTTGTTTTTACTCTTTTACTGATCCATTTTAAGTCATATCAACAGATCTAAAATTTTAGAAATGTTTTGTAATTGCTGCCTAGATTCTTGGTTTTATCTTTCTCCTGAAAGAGGGAATGTAAGTGAATATAAATGGGATCAGAAAAAGATGTCAGGAAAAGGGGCAACAGTCACACCTTAAAATGCCACTAGGAAAAGATACAGGTTCTTGTACCGTCTGCCTTCTCCAACTCCAGTCTGTGAAAAGCCAACTGACCAGTTATTGAAACAGTGAGGCATCAGTTTTTGCAAATCTCTACAGATCCTTTAGCACTGAGCAAAACCAAGAGGAAAATCCGTTGGAAGTATCTTAAAGACTTTCCTTATGAGAACAAAGTAACAGTGTATTCTTGCTTCTTTGTTCATCTTCCAATATGTGTACTTTCATCTGAAAGTAAACAAGATACTTTCACACAGAACAAAAAACTAGAAGTAGCTCAGCTTTCCCTTTTCTTAACAGCTTAGGGATAGGAAGGCCATTAGGCATATTTAACTGTTCCTAGTTTAAGCCATACAGTAATTAATGTTGCTGCAAGAATGTTCAAGAATGCAGTTTTCTTCTCAAAATCTATCCATTTATTCCCTCTTAAGATTTCCTCATGTAGCACACTAGTACCTTGAAGAAAGACCCAAGGTAGTACTTGAGTTTGCTACAAATAATCCAATCCTTCCTTCCTTGGAAGAAAATGGGTATTAGAACTTCTCTGACTGTCAGGAAGACTGAGATTTTCCCTTTCTACAGAAGAGGAATGACCTGTAACTTCTGTATATGCTTCAGCTATGTCTCTGGCCAGAAGTGATTACGATTAGTAAAATACAGTGAAACCATTCTCCCCCTGACCAACTAAAAACTCAGTCTTTGTCAAGGTATAAAATTTTAAGTGCTAACAGGGAATTGTAAAGTTTTTGCCATCAATTACAGTGAGACTCATCAACATTCAATTATCAGTCCACAACCTATGACAAACATAACAGTTACTGTCACCTCAGTGGTAAGAAATACTCTACCGAGCAACTGCCAGTGGTGTATGGGACTGTAACCAAATTGATAATTATGGTGTAAATGGGCTTTCCATATAATAAGTTTTCCACAATTATCAACTGTCAGTCATCTCTGTATCCTGCCAGGCTTTCCATTTATTGTGATTAAACCTCTGTGGCAGTGGAATTATTTCCCAAGTTAATTAGTGATGTAAGGTACACTGCATATGCTAGATGCTGGCAACAACAAAAGCACCAACATTAAAACAAAGTTCTCACTACTGATGAAAGTGTCATGAAAGGATGATAAATTAACTCCTACTATAAGATCTCTCTTTTTTTTTTTTTTTTTTTTTTTAAATGATACACTGTGTGCCCCCTGATAATTCAAGTAACAAAGAAAACAGAGGAAGAAGTTCTTGGAATTTCACAGAAATCAAATAAGTGTCTTACAACCCACAGCAACATCCATGGTTCTTATTGCAATAAAAAGTCAGTATGTATTCTTCATCCCATTTATATTAAGATTTCTTTTAAAGAAAAGGTGCTGATATTTTGTATTGTTTCATTTATGAGGTAGATGGCACTTTCATATAAATAGTGTAAATCAGAAGTTAGCTCTGAGCATGCAACAAGTGCTGCACCACTGACTGCTCAAGTCAATTATTAAATCACGAATACAAAATAATTCCTCATTTTAATAGACAAACATTGAGTCTTTGAAAGGAAAGTGGTGGCCAAGACACAGACAGGTGCCTTCCCTTGACAAAGGTCAGCGGAATTCTGGCTTTAGCCTCCAGACACCTTCACCATTTGGGTTCCTATGGAAGGTGCAGACATTGCGGAGAAGTTCTCTAAAGATGCAGGACTGCGCCGCTGGCAGTTTGGCCTCAAATTCGCGCAGTAGTTCCTGAGTGCTAGCCTCGCCTTCCACGCGGGCCTGGAACGCTATGAAGTTACGCACATCCACGAGCAGTTCATCGTATTCTGTTGAACCCAGGGCTGGGGTGAGTGCTTGCTGATGATTCTCATCTCCCTCGTGCCCTGTCTGTTGTGGTAAAATAAGGTGGTTTCTTGCCCTCATCTTAGCTAATAAAGATGAAGAATCTAGTGCACTGGATGATGATTCTCCAGATTTTCCACCAAAGTGCCCATTGGAACTACACTTCTTTACATTTTCTTTCTTTATTGTATCTGTATCCTGCAAATAAACAGGATTATGTTTATTAATAATAAATAAACAGACTATGGAAAAAGCTGGATTTTGAGATCCACAGAATTTGTTAAACAAAGTCTGCCTGTTGTTTAAGACTTAAACAACAAACATGAACACTCAGAAGCTAGTAACTTGAAATACACAATAAAGAGGTAGTATGTTTGGGTCTCAACTGGAGAACTTAGGAAGTGAAAGAAAAGCATTGCTAGTCTTAAAGACAGAAAACCAGACCATGCTGCAATTTGTGACTGCTGTATCTAATTACACTTCATCAAGATGCTATATCAAAACATGAAAAATCAAATTCATGGGTGACTAAAAATTCTATAATTCTACATAATCATAGGACAAATGGGTATGAGACACATCTAGAGGATAAATCACATTTGTTGCATAAATCAGAACATTTAACATATATCAGCTATTAAGTGAGAAACATTAGTGTGTCTCTTACCTTGCACTTCTTTGCAGGTGATGCACAAGTGGAATGTGAAGAAAGCAGCATAGGGTTTTTCTTTTGACCAAACCGACTCCTAAAAACCAACAAAAGAATTAACTCTATAAAACATCCTTCTCAAAAAGATTAGGATAGCTTTGCCAAAGACACTGACAGGGTTTGCATTTTAGGGTTCTCAAGAGACCTCTGCTAACTCTTCTCCACTGTGCAACAATGTTTTATTTGTACTTCAGAATGGACTTCCTAGGCTTGTAATATGCCCTCATGTCTTTATTAAATATAAAACATGAACCTTCACTTTGATACATGTTACTGCAAATACCAAGCACAAAAAAAGACAGATCCATAGCATTCGAAGGAACATTTCTATTTTTGTAAAAATAGTGTGAGAACCAAACTTACTTTATTCCTGATGGTGCACCTGAAAGACCACTCATGCCTGTCCAGGTTGGCACACCAGAAGAAGCTCCTAAACATCGCTGTCGAGAGACTTTTAAGGCTCTTAAGGCATCCTGGGCCACTCTGTTTGCTTCTGCTTCCACCAGCACATAATCTGCACTGGAAGCTTCCATAATGGCATCATGTTTCATAACACTGTGTACCCCTAAAAATTAGAAGATACAAGAAAAAGTGAAGGAGGACAACTGTTTACATGGTTATCTGCAAAATTAAATATTCACCATTCAAGTGAATGCCACAACCACATTTTTCCTTTTTCAGGATGATTATATTCAGCACTTCAGTATAGTAATTTCTAACAAGGAAACCCTCTTCTATCAGATAAGCAATCAATTTGACAGCAACCACTTCTGGTGTGCTGATGAGGTCATTATTCACAACAGACTTTGCAATTATGTGGGTAAATCGATCATTTCTATTGTTATGGACAGGACAGACAGAAGTGAAACCCTTGTGTAAATGAAGGTTGGCTACATCCTTATTTCCAGAAGAAACACTGCATTACTTCTATATCCAGAGTGTTTCTGGAAGGCTGCAGATCTCTCCGAAATGTTTGTGCCAAGGTAATTAGCACATTCATAACCAGAGCATTTCAATGATTAACAGTTTAGTATTTCACTGCAGTAACAGAACAGATAAAACATATTTCGTATTATAGCTCTAGCAATCAGAGTATCAGAACTGCTCCTTCCCTGACTCACATAAGTTTTATATATATATCTGTGTTTAAATAGTCTGATACTGTCGAGCAACCAAATGACAACAGTTTACCTGATTTTTTGAAAAGTTTCTCCAAGACGTAATCATCATTTTTCTTTGAGTCTTCCTCCTTCTCTTCATCATTCTCCTTTCTGTATTGCTTTTGTTTCACTAGATGAGGAATGCGCTCTCCTTCAAATCTGGCATCTTTGTGATGTTTCTTCTTAAACTTATCTTTGTGGCTTTCATGTGACAGCATATCCACTCTGTGCTTTGTTTTTGAGGTACATTTATAGTGATTATTATCTAATTGCCCATCTTCAGTTTTAGCAACCTGCTTTTCCAAAGAGCCAGCTGCACCACATGTAAGGCTAAAATCTCCCTTGACATTTGCATTAGCTGCTCCATGTACTTCATCAGCCACATTCAGATATTTGGCATTCTCTGAAGACCCTGCTTCACCTGGCAATGACTGGGACATAGATTTGTCAGCTCTTTCCAAGCTTTCCTCCTTGCTTTTAGTCAATGAATTCATATTAGTAGCAGCTTCTGCATTATCTTCTGCATAGCTATTTTGGTCAAAGGTTTCCAAGTTTCCTTTGGTTTCCTCATTTGTCTCTATTGCTTTAGGAGAATAATTTCTCATATGGGTGGTTGAGCAGGAGTTGGATGACCTGCTGTACTTTGGTGAGCTGCTTTCTGTAAGATGAAGATCACCTTTAGAGCTGTCATTATCAGGTAGCTTTTCAAGTTTCCGTTTCAATTGTTTTGGGATTTGAACATCTGAACCAGTACCTGAGGGATGAATGAAATTAGTATCCATTTATCAAACACTTAAAACATTTTTTTCTTTTAAACAAACAGAAAAAAATGTGTACCTGCAAAAATTGCACTTGTTTCTGTTCCCTGAGACACATCTGGGCTGCTCAGAGTAAAGAGTTCATACAGGTCATTGGATTTGAAAAAGCGCCTCTGCTTAGGGTCTTTCAGCACTCTGTTCGTTAAAAACTGCTTGAAGATTTGTCTAAAAAAGGAAAAAAAAAAGTATTTTGTGCATGAAACAATGTCTAGCTATGTTTAAGCACTGAATACAGTACTTAAACAGAAAACTGTATAGGCACAAACGTTACCCTGCAGAACAATTAAGCAGTGGGAAGATGATGTTAGTTTCCAAAAGACAATCTGGAGTTAGTAACTTTCAAACAACCAACTAAATTGTTAAACACAGGGATTGATTGTTTTGCAGTAACCCCATAACACAACAGGTATCCACCATCCTGAAACGTCCTATGAGGCATCGCTTAACTAAGCAATAAATAACTTCAGAGCTAGAATTTTTTTTTGTCCATTAAAACTGAAAAGCTTGCATATATTACAATAAAACTATCAGAAAGCTCCTTGAAAGAAAAACAAGAGCTTGTTAAAATGACAACATTTTAATGGCTCAGTTGATTGGAGGAATCAAAAGCAGCAGAGCAGCTCAGTCTGACGGTGATGACTGGTTGACAACCACTAAAAAAGGAAATCAGACTTTGGTTGAGAGGAGGGGAAAAAAAGAGCTCATCTACAGAGGATTGAAAGGAACAGATTTGGGGGAGAACTAAGTTGCAAAATGTTTTGTACTATTGGTAAAGCTACTTTTATGCCAGTTGTACTACACAGCTTTTGATTGCAAGTCCTAGTCACTATTTTCCTGTGCAAAAAAAATATACATCCCTAAGTAGAGCTGGAAATTGGTTCTCAAGAAGTGTTTTTATCATGGTTTTGACTCTACTGGCATTAAGCGTGGAAACTATTTTTAAAGTTTAAACATAGGTGCCAACTACTGTAGTGCACCCATCAGAAAACTTCCAAGTTTTTCAGAATTAACTGAGCTTCATAGCTTCCTGCAAGGACAATCACATATTTGCATGGAGGAAAACACAGGCAAAAAGAAAAGACAACTTGCTTAAAGTTCAAAGTCCATTGCATTGTTTTGGAAAGAAATGAATTTCTGATGGCTGTCCTGACCCTTAGAGCCCAATGCCTTGATGTGGTCAGTGTTATTCAAACAGAAGTATGCCAGTGGGATGCAAGCCAAGCAACAGCGGATGCTTTGGATCCGTGCGGTAAAACAGATTAAAAAAGGCACTCAATAAGTGCTAGTATTTCATTATTTAGAGCTTTTCATTCATCTGCATTTTCAAAGAGGATATTCCAGTTCTAAAGAGTAATGCCTAGACAGAGGATTCCCATGTAGATTCATTTGGAATTCATGTGAGTGAAGCTAGCTACCAAGAAAGCTGAATGGGAAATATTTCATTGATTTCAAAATACAAGGTTTTAGCTACATTTTGGAATAAGTAACGTGAATATGACTGGTGGTTCTTGGGATTTAATTCTCTCACTTTGGAATGATTTGTGAATAAAATCAAATCGGGTTTGCAGAGTCATAAATGGATGTATGTACCACATACATCTTTATATATCCTAAGGACAATATAAAGAACTTGCTGATTTCAATTTGAATTTCAGACTTGCTGAGTCTCATGTTCTGGAGTAAGGGGCTCATTTTGTCCTGTCTATGCCTCATCCTCTGTCATTTGCAGTGAATTCTGGATGTGCTGGTCACAGCTGCTGGAACAGACTGATGAGATATATTTATTTAGCACGTGGGTCATGGAGCTAGAGAGGCGGCAGCACAGCCCTGGAGCTGGGAGTCTAATATTAGAAGGCGTCCCACTTCTCGGCAGAAATTTTTAGAAGTTTTCCATGATGTGCCCATCATAACCAAGGTTGGGGGGTTACAAGCCCTGTGTGCACACGCACAGTATGTCACAGTTACATTGCCTCAGATTCGCTATAAACATTTTCTTGAGCATACGGCTGAATCCAAGGACTCGTTCTGACTGACCTGTGGTATATCTTCTCTTCGATAGTACCTGCAGTGAGAAGCCTATACACAGTCACCTGTTTCTTCTGGCCTATTCTCCAAGCACGCTCCCGAGCCTGGAACACAAAAGTTTTGGTTACCAGACATCAGACATTTAAACATGTGTTTGACAAAGAGCTATTGATACCACTGTTTCAAACCTGGTTTGGACATTTAACAAATAGTTTAAGAAGTTGCATAGCTGTGGTACTTCTACGGCATTAGGACAAAAATTTTCCTCTCCTAAGCAGGAGATGAAAACAATTTAGAAAGTTTACATATGTAAAAAACAAGTCTCCATTGTTCCAAGAAATCTATGCAAAAAATATATTAAAAAATTATGTTAAAATTAAGACTTGTATCCAAGAGATGTATTTTACATAGACTTATTCCAAAAGGGATCCATTTCACAACAGAGCTTTAATATATATATCTCCTTTGAACTTTTCTTCTTTTTCTTGACTGAAAGCTTTCCTACAAACATCTTGAACCAACTGCTAAAATAGAACATTCTATGTCAGACTACACACTTGCAGATATCAGAGCTATATAGGATTTCTGTCAAAAATATTTTTTTCCTCTCAAACATGTAAGCTCCATATACTATTAAGGGATCTGATAACCCAGAGTCTCATTACACTATCAGATAAGGCAAACCTTCTTTAAGGTATTGGCTTAACAGCAGCTTCTAAGGGCATAGCTACATATAATTATTTAGTAACAAAGCCAATTTAAGCAACACTTGTTCTCCTTTTTTTACCCTGCATTACAACCGTGAACAGTCATGCCTGTTCATGAGCTTGCACAGCTGTACTCTCCCTTCAAAAACACCTAATTTGTTTGCTTATTTATTTAAAAAAACCCAGGCCATTTCAACTGTTTGTTTGGCTACACTCTAAACAGACTATATGAATCAACAATATTGAAGAGTGGTAAGGTATAACAGCAAAAAGGGGATGTGGTGGGAACCACTTAAATTGGCTTTGCCACAAAAATAATCATAATGTGGAACTGCAACCTAAGCGATCGTTGCTGGGAACAACAACTGGGAAGAGCAACATAGTGCTTTGACACTATGTAATTCCATCTTCAGTTTTATTTCAACTTAGCTGTTAAATGGAATGTAATGAACTAAACTCACCTGTGTGTCTGTACTGGGATTCCAGTCAGGATCATAAATAATAACTCGGTCTGCACCAGTCAAATTAACTCCAATGCCACCAACACGAGTTGTTAGAAGAAAAATAAATATGGATTTGTCCTATAACACAAGAGAGAATTTACTAAAGCAAGAATTACCAAAATATAAGATAATTTTCTTTATTTCCTGGATTCTTTTATTATCAGCATTATTTGCAAAGATTCAAAGGGAGCCAAGAGAAAGGAATACATGTCCTTGTTTACTTAATATCTTTTTTGACAAATAAAAGTAGTTTGATATAAATTTCATTTACTGTTGTCCAACCAAATTTCCCCCCTTTTCAACTGTGTTTTTTTTTTTTCTTAGCCCAACTTAAGTGTAAAAAAAAAAACCAAAAAACTTCTTCCTGTCTCACAAAGAAAGTGGTTTCATTTGACTGAACTCCCCAGTTTTGTGTCTCAAACCTGAAGTAGCACATTGAAAAATAGACCAAAAAGGAATGCAAGAACTCAACCATACTCACTAATAGGCGTGTGTGGGATGCAACACCTCACCTCATTATATCTTGTTATAAGGGGCTGCCTGGAAGCTATTGTTGTGGTGCCATCCATTCTGAGGTAGGAATAGTTTCTGTCTCTCACAAAGACTTCAAATATCTGTAGCATCTGTTGTGATGGAAAAAATGTAATGAAATAGAGATGTGAAGACTAAGCAACTGTCTGATCAAGTAGAATTTCTAGTACTAACTGTGGTGACAATTAAACAAACAAGATGACAACCAATAATTTGTGAATCTTAAGTGTGCGGAAAATTATTTAACTTATGTCATGGGGGATAGGGCAAAATAGTTATGTCACTACTGAATGCACAAGTGGAATGTTTGTGCTTGGTTTGGGAAGTCCAGAGCCGTGGTCTCAAGACAACCAGGTAATGGTGCAGTATTCCAGGGAATCCATAGAAGCAAGACAGAATCATGAATATATAGGGAAAACAAATGAAGATCACTCTCTGTGCTACTGGTCCAAAGCACACAATTCTGAGGATTAGATGTGCACATGTACTAAACAGAGCGAGCAAACTGACTACCAATTCTATCCTGAAACTATACAGTAGGGACAGTAAATACATCACCACTCCTTCAGCCTGGTATTATACAGATACAACGGATAAAAGCTTTGACCCAGTGTATTTAATTTGGGAAACACTGCCACAACAGTGTATCATTACAGTAAAGCTTACTGAGCTCTATTATAATTATAAAATTATAATAATAATAATTATAATTCAACCTATTTTGTGCTAGCAAAAACATCACTGCTGCAGTCTCCCCAGTTAGCTATCACTGCAGTCGTTCTGATGTCATCTTTTTTTTAAATTAAAAACACACATACTTGTTTTGAAACAAGAAGTCAAAATGCAGGTAGTTATGTGTATGTTATGAAAAATAAGACTACCAAAGAACTAAGAAAGAAAAAAAAACAACCTAAAAAATTCCATGCAAGACTTTATATAGAGAGGGAGCAAAGAAAAGTGAGGTTACTGAGCTAGGGAACTGGTCTCCAACTATTCCAAAGACATTAGTCATTTTTGTATTTTTTTCAGTAAGATGTTAATTTTGTGAGACACTACAAAAGGTGTTTCCAATTACAAGTCTTGTTGAAACACACACTTTTTAGTTTTAGTTGTTACTAAAACTAAAACTAATTAGCTCATCTTACCTGTCTTGACTGAGTGAAAAACAACACTCTGTGACCTTGTTTGTGCCAAATTTTCAGCAAGGATTCTACCACTATCATTTTTCCAGAACGTTTCCAATATCCAAACTGATCTGCTTCTTCCACTTCAGCATCTGGTACACCCCTTAAAAGCTTGGGACCACCAGAAAAGAGGTCAGGGTGGTTGCAAATCTTTCTCAAAGCTACTAGTCCTGAGAAAATCTAAAGAAAGGAGGAGAAAAATAAAATTATTTTCTTGACAAATGCTTGTGTCTATATGGGTTGTGGTTGAGAAAAAATAAACAGCAATGGATTAATCCAGTCATCACCAAGAAGTTTGTTTTTAATACTGGTTTGCTCTTTAGAGAAGCCAATGGACAGTAATACTTGTTTCATGGAAAGTTTTAAGAAAAATCAGTACAAGAGAAGGACAATGAAATTTTGTGTTCTAGTCAGCCTATTGTGGTAACAATGTTAAGAGAATTCTGCAACAATTTCCACATTAACAAAAGCAGTTCCTAGCTGTAACTCACAGTCAAAATTTTCCTACTCAAAAGGAAAATATCGACCAAGTTTGTTACTTGAAATTATTGTGTCCCTCCTTCCAACCCCTGCCATGTAGGAATGCAACTAAAGACAAGACCTTGAGGATAGCAAGTATAACCACCAGAATGCATGGTAACAAAGAACAGAGGAGTAAACATATTTGAACACATATATGAAGCTGAAAATTACCACTTTTTATGCCATGTTAGAAGGGTTCTGTTCAGTTATTCATTCAGTAATATTAGAAGTGTTATTTATTCTTCTGAAATAATGGGCACTCATAAAAATGAACTAGCTTGAAACAGCAAATCCCTCATCATCTAGCACTACAAGTTGGATGAGCCTGCTCATAATTTATGGTTTATGTGTACAATGAGGTTTATGTTTTTCAGCTGGGAATCACTGCTGTCATCACCAAATATCTAATAAAAGCATTGACATTTACTGTTCAAAAATTTCAGAACTCTAGCAAATACAACAGCCCATTCTGTAACATCTTAGAGAAATTTCTGCAGATAGTCTTGTACAAGCCATCTCTTGAAGATGAAACTCCTTAAAATAATTTTCATTGGGATAACTAAAATTGCTAGGCACTTGAAAAAACCTGGCCACTATACCTGTGCGAGATCAGTGAGATGGTCAACATCTGCTTTGTATGGCACTATGATATACATGGCTGTACTGAGCATGCGACTAACTGGAGTCACTGGGGTTGAGAGGAGAAGGGATTTCACAGTTTACAAGACAAGGAAGCGTGGTGAATACACATTATAACCAAGAAATATTACTTCTCCTTTTACAAACAACAGATCCGTATCCTGCAGCTAAAATGGGAGTGAAAAACACCCACTGCACGCGTACAAGTGTGAAATGGCCCAGATGTGTGCAACGTAGGAGTCACAGGGAATAGCAGACTTGTTACACAGGCAACAGCAGGCATTTAAAATAGTATTTCAATTAATGCTGTCACCCTGGCCACAGCAATTTCAAACACTTACGTTATGAGGACAGAGGCAAAAGATGTTGGAAGTGACTAGTAAGACAATAACAAGGATGCTTGCTATTTGCTCGGCTGTATATTAAGACTCTGTGAAATCACAGAATGGTCAAATCATCAACTGTAGCATCTCAAAGTTATACCTGAACTGTAGTCTCAGGACGAATTACTCTTTTCCTTCACTTCACTTTTGCAATTGGTTAAAAGCACGCATACAATTACCTACAGCAGGTCATCCAACAAGCCATAATTTGTTCCCAACATCACAAATATATTGCCAAGCCCATTTCATTCCTACTTTTATCCAGTCATGCCGCTACATAGGGATCACTAACTCTGCATATCCCATGGACCATTTCTGAGGAAAAGAAAGCAGACATCCACAAAAGCAGAACTGAAATCAGTGTATTTGCTTCCCTTTCTGCTTAGAATCCAGCTAGAAGAATGCAATGGTCAGTCCATGACTTTATCCATACAACTCTACCTGCCATTAACCTTAATTAATGCCAACCTGCATGTCTCCATTGAGAATCTGGTAAACTTCTTTAGAGTTGATGAAATTTAGATAGACTTGACGCTGCTCATCTGTCAAACGGCAAAAGAGGACCTATCAAAACAAACAAACGAACCATTCAAGATGAACCTGTAAACTCCAAATAGAGTAAATTTTAAAGTTTTACAATACGCTACAATGAAGCTTCAGATATCTGACATACTGAAATACTAAGTTAGAAGATACTGCATAGAAAACATTATAATAAAAAACTTAGAACTTTTAGAGAAGGAACATAATCATTCAGATGGGTTCAATGAGTTTTTCTGTGCCCTTTCTCAGTTGTTATTTTTTCCCCTCAAATTGCTTTAGTGCTGTCATTTCCCAGTTTTAATGTGGTAACTGCGCAATGTAACATTCTCTCAAAGCTCATGTTTATAGGAAAGGCTTTCCGTTGTGTGTCTGTTATGTCCCTTATAACTCACAAATTCTTAGTGCCTCATGGGAAAACTAGGTTAGCACGTGTAATCCGTTCTGTCATTAGCCTTTGAGTGTGAGCATATAATGATGGTCTAAAATGGAACAAAATCACTTCCTTGCATCCTGCAAGGCATCCAACGTTATGCTGTAAGTCAAACTTATGTAGTGCTCTGAGACCGACAAGAACAAAAATCAAATTTGTTTAATCTGTTTATGATTTCATTCTTTATCATATATAGCCCAGACTCTTTAAAATATATAGAAACGCAAAATTTGATTTAAAAAAAAAAATCATTAGACTGCACAGCAGAAATTGAGTATGGCCTACTCATTTATTATGTACCTTTCAGCACTGTCCTACAAAGACTAGCACATCTGTTTCTCTTTTAGAGGGAGGAAACAGGAAGGAAGGAAGGGAGTGAGGAGAGGATAAGAAAGCCTGAAGCACTGAAACCCGAGTGGCAGAAGAATCTATTAATTACTACAAGTGAGTATTTGTAGGGATTTCAGTTGTTTAAATAATGCTTTCAACCTCCTTTGAATCAAAATGTTTCCTAAAAATATTCCACATCTTTGTATAGCAAAGAGCCTTTAAATTACTACAAGTGAGTATTTGTAGGAATTTCAGTTGTTTAAATAATGCTTTCAACCTTCTTTGAATCAAAATGTTTCCTAAAAAATATTCCACATCTTTGTATAGCAAAGAGGTTTTAGATCAAAAGGTTAATATTTTGGAAATTTACTAGAATGTACAGGCCCAGCTAGTTTGCAGTACAAACAACTGCCGTCAAGCGTTTCTCTACTGTTTGCTGCCCAAATTAATCTTTTTAGAGCAGAAAACAATGTTAAAAGTGTCCAGGAGATGCACCATAGGAAACACCCCACATACAACTCATTTGTATACACCTGTGACCTAGGGAGGACAGTATTAAGCAGACCTGACTGCATTTCCTATATCCTTTGGTTTTTAGATGAGAGTGCACTTGTGCAAACCCTGCAAGATTATGACCATCTAATACTCAGAAAACAACTTGAAAGCTCTACATCTTATCTTTAGTTCAAACAGCATTTCATTTGCTATTAGCACAAATTATTTCCAAATGTTCATTAAAGGTTGGATTTTGGGGAGGGAAAGGGCTCAGATCGGATAGTAAATATAAGCAAACCTGTTCATTTTTATCTGGAAGTGAAAGGCTCATTTTTACATCAGCCTTCATTCTTCGCAGCAAGTAGGGGTTTATGGTGTCCCGTAACACACAGGCACATTTGTATGCAGTTTTTACCTGAAGAAGAAAGAAAAAGCAAAAGTTGTATTTTGGTTCTTGCTAACAGTTTTAGCAACAAGCAAAATTCCATAATTAGTAATAGGAAAATCCTCATAAAATGAGACGGTGTATGATTTATGTGGATCTGTGGTTACATATTCAGCACAACATGAACTGCAATAAAATTCATGTTAGCAACAATAATATTCAGTAAGTAAGTCTTCCTCAGATACCACTAATTTATCTTTCCTAATTTAGTGGAATTTAAAAGAGACCAGAGAGGAGAGATTTCTTTTAGAAACCAATCCAAGAAGTGAGCATAAACTTGCACAGGACCAAAATCCACATGAAAAACTGCTAATACATACACTGAAGATCAAAAAAGAAGCCTGCAGCAATGGTGGTTACTAGACAATAAGTGAAGATTAGTGCCCACTCGAGACTATTAAAAAAAAATCGGTACAAGAAAATCCCCATGATCACAGAAACAAAAGGTCACTCTGGCCTTAAATGGAACATATGGTTCTATAATGGGTAATGGATGTGTGAGATGGGTATTAACTGTACATAATGGCTAAAAATACCTTCATTTCTCCTAAAGCAAAGCAAAGGATACAATAAATTATTGATATGTAAAAAAAAAAAATCGGCTGTCCAATTTAGTAATTTACTAAGCTTTAGACAAGGGAAGTACTTAAACTCATAAAGAAAATAAAACTTTAGAAATGCATGTGTGCAAAACATTATAAATAATAGTTAAAAGGATACAAGTTTATTAGTCTTTTATACGAAACTTTGTCTGCACATTAATATGCAGATAATTTACCTATCAGCTAATTTGAAAAATGTTTAAGAAGTCATAAATACTGAGAAATGCAAGTACAAGGATTAATAGACATACTTATTCAAAATAATATTCAAAATAATTTTTGCTTTCAAAATTAAATAGTTTATCTACTTTCAGACTTCCAGTACCTTTTTTAGCTTTTTTAAAGATGAAGACAGTTTTCAGTTTGGATTTAAGGATTCCTCTGTTGTATAATTTGCTGAAGCTTGATATCAAACAGGAAAGTTCTATTTAAGTACATCAAAATATGAGATCAGTCACCTCCCACCCCAACTTGCTTACCTTTACTTTATATCAAAGAATACTTCTAATGATTTGAACTTCCAGGCTTCTGAAAATAAAACTTTGTTTTTCTTGCGCTACACCCTTGTATAAATGAAATGGTCTCATTTAGTTGAACAGCTCTTTTCACATATGTAGCAGTAAAAAAACCACACATGCAACTCTTTTGGGTTAGTGTCTAGAACATACAGCATGAGGTACATTTAAAATTCAGTTTTGAAATAATATTTCCTTCAAGTGAAGTGATATTTTTGATGCGTTTACCTGGACAGGAGAGGCATTGGCATATCCTCCCATGGTTATCGGAACAGAAAATTGCTCCATGAACACAGGCAGTGTTCCCAATTTCCCTGGGAATACAAAGTCAAAGAGGGACCAGAGCTCCTTTAGGTTATTTTGCATAGGGGAGCCAGACAAGATGATTCGATGGGGTGTGCGGAACTATCAGTGAAAAACACAAAATCAAAAGAAAGTTATTTTCATGGTTCATGGTGTAGCCTGCCTCAGAGGATATTAAATTTCACCATCAAGTAATTCTCATTTTAAAATATATGGCCTCATATTCACACAGAATCACATATTCCTGCAATAAACAGCTTTCTGCAATACATTTTCCATAAACTGTTAGAAAATGAACAGCAGCAATCTGACCTTTATCCCTAATGGTAAATTACCACACAATTTAACATTTATGTTTTTTTTTTTTTCCCCCCTCTACCATACTTCTGTAAATTTACTGATGTAAACTCATTAAAAATATTAAGTAAATTGAACAGTCAAAATATAGACCATTGTGATTTATGCTTTTATTCTTTATTAGTGGCCAAATGTGTATTTTTATGATAAACTAATACAGGTTATTAGATTTTTGAACCTCCCCCCTGCAGCTCTTAAAACCTTTATTTTTTATAAAGTACCTGCTTGCATGCAAGTGTGACTGCAGCATTTGGATTTCGGATTTTGTGACCCTCATCCAGAATCACGTAATGCCAGTCATAGCTGTGGATATTATCCTGCATCAGTCGAATGTACGAATAAGACGTAATTAAAATTCCATGGCATGAAGCAATTTCATGAATTAGTTTCGCCTAAAAGCAAAAGGTGCACATTGTCAGTAACAGTGCAACAGAAAACTCAGACCTGCTGTCCAAAGCATGTACAAAAAGTTTTGAAAAAGCAAATACAAAATTTACTTTGCAAAGAAAATAAGTATAGGCAAGACTTTGATTATATGATTCTTAGCTCATCTGTAAGAGAACGAAGGACTGGATTACCATGGTATAACAGATCAGAAATTGATGTGAAGCCTGCTCAGAAGGAAATCTGCTATATCTACCTCACAAACCCAGCTTTATGTACTGCATGCAAGATCAGTTAGAGGAAAACTAAGCAAGTGAAAAACTAAAAAACAATCACAAAAATCTATTTTGTTAATCCTAAATTCTGTCCAATCTTTCTCATTGATAGGATTAATATATTTGTTTTAATCTTAAAATTTTATGCTTCTCTTTGTAAAGCTATGTCCCTTCCCTAAGTTCTTATTAGCCTTTAGAGTTGTAAATTATGTAGAGCAGGGCCAGTCTGTAACACCTTCCACAGCATTCACAGTATTCAAAATTCATCTTTCTTGCATTTATCCTCCATATATAAGACTGAAACAGAAGATGAGGGGCTGGTAGGCCATTCTGGATGAAACAAACATACCCAATGAAAAACAAAAAAAAAAGTAGAACCACCACAGACTTTGCTAAAGACAAAACCCTCATTATGAGAAGTGCCTTTAAGAAAAAAACAAAACTAGCAAAAACAAAGGGAAAAATCCATCTCGGAGACTCAGATGGTGTTAAAAGTCCATGATCTCTTACTGTAAAATTTCTTGGTCAAAGACATAAGATTCAAAAAGCAATTCTGCATTTAACTGTTCAAGAACTTCTACTTTCTAATTATCATCTCCTGATAAAACCATGACACATTATTTAATGTTGACATCATGATTCTCAAGAGAATATGTAATTTTCAGAAAAATTTGTATTACAGATAGAGTAGGATTTCTAGGCAAGTGTGGACATTCAAAGCTTAATTCCACCTGGTACATTGTCCATAGTCTGCAACCATGTCCTAGAGTCTCAGCAATGGCCTATCATAGACTATTGTAGACATCTTTACCCAAACACTTAAGACAAATCATCTCGGGCGATTTCAAATTAAAAGCTTGTAAAATATGTAACCTCTCCTAGTTTTTGCAATTAATAGGGTATGTCTGCAATTAGCCTGACTTACAGAATGCTACACTGTTGTCATTAAAAGATGTTTTGTGAAAGTGCTGCTGTTATTATGGAGGCTCAAGAGACCAATCCCTCCTAGAGGGCAAACAGTGGACTAGTAGAAAACAACAGCCATAAATCACGTTGTCAGGTAGCAGAGAGAACAGAAGTGAAACACAGGCACATGAAGGCCATTCACTGTAAACACACCACAGCAGAATCCTAGTCAGGATTTGCTGAACCTGTAATTAATTAAAGTTTCCTTCAAGCTAAATTTTTAATAAACAAGGATTTGTGCTGACAATGAAGAAACAAAACAACAACACAATTTTATCAACTCACACTACAACACTTATTAACTCTCATTTTACTGCATTGGGTACTTTCTCAGAGGTTGTCTTTGCTTCAGTTGGAGCTCTTGGAACAATTTAAAATTTAAAAAAATATTATAATAGATTTAGTATTAGATACACACTGTTTTAAAGCTGTGGCATTTCAGAATTTATGCTATTTTATTATGTATTCTTTAGTTCACAATTTCTGTTTGGTTAGATTCAGGCACGTTTAATTTCCCCGCCCTCCCCTCAGGAAATACACTTCAGTGAAATATCTCAGGGCATGTACTGTTAAACTGGGGGGCAGGGGGGGATATAAAAAAAAATCATCTCAAGAGAGACAAATCCTACTAAAGCCAAAAGATTACACAGCAGTTATCTAACTTTGAAATTCTGAACTCTGGCCTTTAAAAGATGTTAATGAATAGAGGAACATGTGAGTAGGTCGAGTAATTCTGATCTTGTAGTTCTGTTCAGCACAGTATTTCAGGTCTTTACAATTGAAGGACAGTATTTCCTCCTAACTTAGGGTGATAAGTTGATTCTGTTGCCTTGTCTTCACTGGGACACATGCAATGTACAAAGACTGGAAGATTTTGGGCAAGCACCATTTATTAAGGCTAAAACGTTTATGATTTATTCTAAGGACACACCTCTCAGCAAATGTTTTTTCCTCTTGGTACCTCATTGTAGCTACAAGTTTGTTTCTGAAGCTACAAAAATAGAACAATTTTTCTGACTGATGCTTACAGAAACAAGCTTTATCTTTTTTATCATTAAGTCATCTTCTAAAAACTATTCAAGAGGAGCTGAACTCTTCAGATACCTTTAAGGCAAGTGTGAACTTACAGAGATATTTAGTCACTTACACAACCATATATCACTTGTGAATCAAAAATGCATTCTTCAGCAGGCTTATCACTATCTCATAACCAACCATTAAGCCCAGAGATCCATAAATTCAACCTATAAAACCTCTTTATTATTTCCCTACCCCCAACAAAACAATCTAAATGGCACCATGAAGAAGCTTCAAAAGAACACATTACAATCTTTAATAATGTAAAAGTTGCAGTAAAAAGAGCTAAAGCACTTACTACATATTTAAAAAGAATGCTACTTCTTGTGGCATGATACTAAGTTTATCTGAGTTTGGTCCTTAACTCAGAAATAGATCCTTTGGCTAAAATAGAGGTTCCATATACAGACATGCCAAAGATTAACCTTTGCAACTTGTTCTTTACATGTAGATTGCATACTCTACTGTGAGGGTAGAAGGTCCAAAATCTTCAGCGTGCAAAGTCATCTTCAAATAGATGGTTCCACACAAACTGATAATTGCTTTTGAGAGCTGCATTGTGTGTACAGCATTTGACACACAAATGCTGTAAAGTTACAGCTTTACAAATGGTATGTGATTACTACCAGAAAGAATTGTTAAGCTCATTGATATCTGCTCTAAAGATCAAGGAACTGGAAGTTCAGCCTTCATCTTAAAAAATATATCCTCCTTCCATACAATATGTTAAACCAAGACAACCAAAGTTCATATTGTCTCTAATATTCTATGATTTTCAAATGCTCATGTGCCATCAAAAGTTTTGAAACAGGGCAACCTCTTTGTACAGATGGCTTTTCTTCCTACACTTACAGAGCTTTCTTCCCATTATCTCTGCTCTAAACCATAAATAAAACAGTATTTATGATACACTACATTAGATATACGTCTTTATTTTGTCTCATCCTTAGAGGTCTCAGAGCACTTGATGTTTACAAGTCACTTTAAGCTACATCAGATTTGAGTGTAAACCACGGTAGGAGGTTAATAGCACAATGCAGCACCACAGGACATAGCCACAAGTGCTGTACCTTGTTCAAACTGGAAGCTGACTTCACAGCAGAAGACTACTACTTAAATCTAGTTCTTCCTACTGCTTTCAACTTAAGCACATCTATCATCATAGAAGAACCAAATGATGTTCTGTAATCACAAATACTACTACTACAACTAAAAATAATAATAGCAAGTTTTAAATTTAATCCAAATGCCTTAAACTAGCTATAAAGTCTTGGAAACCAATCCAACTTGCTATTAAGTTTTCCTTCCATCATCTAAAATACCAATCTGCCTTCCCTTGGGGATAGTTGAAGGCCTTTAAACTATTAGTAGTCATATTTCAAGGGGTGAAACTGAAACTCTAAACTTCTCTCCCTTACTGCCAAAATTGTCTACCATTGTTATTTTAGCAAAGGAATGAAGTAGTCTCTCTTTGGAAGCATCACATGTGCTAAAAACCTATACAAATACTATAGCAGCAGAGATACCTAAGCAGGATGTCTCAATGACTCACCTGAAAAAGGCTCACCAGATTTGCAGCCAAACTGGAGCTCACAATTCAGGTTGTTATTTCCTACTATTATTGTGGAAAATCATAAAGTTGCTTGCAAAGAAAACCAAAATGGACTGTGAAAAGAGGATATGCCAATGTAATGAATAGTAAGCCTTTCACTTACCACGCTGCTCAGAAGTCCTTTAGTAACACTAAAGGAGTGTCACTAACTGAAAAGATGCGCAAGGTATTGCCTAGTACCAATTTATGAAAAAACAGTCAGAACAGGTGTCTTCCCCACTCTTCTCTGTCAAGCAAATACTTTTGTGGGAAGTCTAAAGAACTGGGAGACAGGATCTTACATTGATGCCAGGGTACCTTAGAAGTTGCAACAGAAAATACCTATTCATAAAAGCATATCATTTCACCAGTGCTGAAAGTTTTAGTATTTGCCAATATTTCAAGATTCCTGCCAATGTCAGGGTAATAATTATGTAGATCCATCTCATCTAAAAGATCAGCTTAAGTTTTATCAAATGAAACTTCAGCTGTTGTTTCTTTCTGCTAAGAAATACCACCTTGCCTTATGGGACACCTATCATTGCTTAACTTTTCCTCCAAAATTCTCCTTCATTAGTTTTAAGATTTATCTTTCTCTGTTCCTTAGAAATAATTCGTCCCTCTTTCACAGGCCTGTACAGAACAAGCTGCAGTACTGTGTTTTACCACAAACAACCTGCTGGCCAACTACTACAGGATAACACATTCCTCAAAATTCATTAAGATCTTCACTGTCTAATGTCTAGTTAATCTGGGCAACAATTATGTTCTTCCACTGGTCCAGACCATTCCAACCTCTGTTAGCTCAGAGGTTGAGGTGACCTTTCTTACTCCAAAGCAGATAACTTTCAATTCCCCAATCCTGTCTCCTTGTGTCCAGCACATAACTCTCCTCATTTACTTCATGATAAACCATGATGTACTAACAGAACAACAGGTGAATCCTGTTACTTAAAAATTACTTAAATTACTTAAATTTATGCCTTATGCCAGAGCATAAGGGCAGAATGGTCCCTGCATGAGTATTATAAAGTTAACACAGGCAAAAGGAGTCTCCTGTAATGCCATAGGTTATCAGAAAATTGAATTGTCATGAGATCAGATCAGCACTATGGTATTCATAGAAAGAATGTATACTGAAAATAAGTTCTAGGCAGGAACATCACCTGGCCTGTATTTTATGAGATTTTTTTTTTTAAAACTTTACTTTAGTCATAAGCTTGCTCTTCTCTGATTAAAAGACATCTAGAAAAAAAACGTGCATGAGATAAAAACTACATCAGCAGTGACACTTGCTTAAAGCATACTGTTGCAGCTCTAAGAAGATGAGGCATTAGGGCAGAATTAGAGAACTGAACTTATCCAAAGTGATCATATGGTATGTGAATTCCTTGATTTTAGGTTACTGAGTAAGCATTTGTGGGAAGACAATGGGAAGGTGAAGTCCTGAAAACCTGACTATGCCTGCAGATGGAAAAATCTGAGACAGTCTGTCAAGTGCATTAATTAACAAATACCCCAAAATAAGCACACACGATTTAATTTAGGAAGACATGTGAGCATGTTATTGAGGTCAACAGACTTTTAGGGCTTGAAAACATACCAAGTTAATTGAACAACAGGAAGCTATTAGCACATTAGAATGTGCTATTCCTTTTTTGCCATGTACTGTAACTGCATCAATTACCTCAGAATATGTTTAATCAAGTGCAATTAAGCACCATATCATTTTAATGTTATTACAAGAAATTCAATAAATATTTAAAGAGAAATTTAAAAATGCTTTGCTGAATCCTTAAAATCCATTTAAGCATCTGAAATAAGAGGCCAAGGGAAAACAAAATCTAAGTTTTCCTTGTTTTGTTCCAGTAAGGTATCAAGGATTTAAACTTCAGACAAGTCACTCTTGTCAACTTAAGAAATGGAATAAGAACATATGTATTAAGAGACTGGCTGAGAAAATTAAATCAGAAAAGGCAGTGTTTGGAAAAAAAGAAAAACAACAAAGTAACATTGTCATTAAAGAAAAGGAGACGAGGTGATATCAACTGACAAACTGACCAGCTGAAGAGAAATTGCCTGTGCAAGCAAAATGTATTAAGTATTAGATCAATGACATACTGATGAATGGAAGAGCAAGGAGAGAACTCACCAGCACTATAAACATATACCTGGTGTACAAGCAGTCTATTCATGAACTTCTAGCATGGACTGCAGTACAAGCAAAGCTCAAGCAAGAAACCTGTTACTACATTTAATTTGTTGAGGCAATGCTAGTCTACCATTACACAAGTGTAAAACGTACTGTGTGTCATCCCCCGTCTATCAATACAAGACAGTGAACTTTTTGTTCTTTTAAAACAGAGAAAGAACACAAGTTTGCACAGAAACATTCAGGAACAGGGGATTATTTTTTTTTTTTTGCTAGCACGAGAAGAGAAGAGAAGCGAAGAGAAGAGATGAGATTCTGGAATTACAAAACGGATGTCAACTATTACCTTTTTGTTAGTATAAGAACCAGTTTCATGGAGAATGGCGACTCTAAATGGGGGCCACCAAGTGTGGAATTCTTTTACCCACTGATGCATCACAGTAGCTGGACAAACAATCACTGTTGGACCCAATCCCTGATACCTAAAAGAAAGTATTCAAGGAAAAAAAACTAGTGTGAAATAAATACTCTATATTAAGTGGCTCATTAAAATATACACATATTAAAATGACACACTTTATAGTTCAAATGCAATATGAGAGCTATGGAAATTAATTGGCACTTTTTTTTTTTTTCTACAAGTCTGTTGTTTTAAAGGAAGATGAAAGGGCTACTGCTATAAGAACCTATCCACTGAACAGTTAATGGATGCATCTATCAAGATAAACACAGAAATAGAACAGTTCCAAACAATAAGGCATAAGGGAACTTCCTCCTATGGTAATACAAATCAGGTTTGGGTAAATGCTGTTATAAGAGAAAAGAAATCATTAACAAACAACTATTTTATTACTTCTATTAAAAAGAATGCATAGCTAGAGCCTCACAAATGGACTTACACACAGGTGTTCTGCTTCATGTTGGTAATATACTGTACTATTATCACCATAATTTACAGATAAGACAAGGGCTCAAAAGCAACAGAATGTATCAACCATGGAAGCTGAGGTCTCATCTGGGCTTAAATTGTCTCAAGTTTTTTATTCATAATCACATCATTGTTTCTGAGAATTAGTGAGGATGTTTGAAACAAAGTCTTTCTGTATATTAAGTTCAGAGCTACTCTTAAGGTTAAGAAGAAGAAATCTGTCACACAACAGCCAAACAAGAAATATTACCATCACAAACAAATACCAACAATCATATAGGAAATACACTAAGTAGTGGCTACTAGTAGTTATTTTTCAAATATATTTGCATTTTAAGAAATAGAAGAAAATGACTTTGTAAACAAAGGCAATAGCTACAGTTATGACACACTGATTGTGTCTGGCCGACCAGGTACTATTCAAATGGTAATAAATAAACAATTCAAAAGATCACAGTATACATTCGAGATCCCATGCACACAGCAATAAAGATTTCCCAGACACCAGCAATACTCTGCTTTTTAAAAAAAAACCCAACCTGTTAATGCCTTTAGAAGCTGCTGACTATGAAATAATATTCTTTATTTAAAGCTTATACATATGCAGAATAACAACCTGGATGCTGCTTATCTCTTTCGTTATGAACAAATATTATATAACAACCTTACATAGTTGAATTTAAAATCTCCCAGCAATCCAAGTGGAATTTTAAAGTTGGAAATGCAAAAACCAGCTTCAACTATGCTACAATCTAAATAACCACTCTTAAAGAAATCTACAGCAAAAAAGGCAACTGCTCTTAAGAATATCTCTAGGAAAAAAACCCAACTTTCCCAGAACCTATCAGTTCCTCACTCTTCATGGGTAGTAAGAAATTACCTCTGCTTATTCCCCTTGTCTGTATCAAACAAGCTCACATGCTGGGTTTAACCAGGTTTTTTGTTTTGTTTGTTTTTTTTTCCCCCCTCAGCTTACACAAAGAGCTCACACTTCCTTTGATCAATTTTCAGAAAATCCACTCCCCCTCCACTCAGTTGTGTGAAACCTCTTTTGTGTCTAGTCTGGCTCTAATCACTTTCTACTAGCCAACATTTTATTCTTCTCTTGAGAGCTTTTATTTATTTATAAAAAAGAGTCATCTAACTTCCACTCTGTGCTGTTTCACAAAACTAAACAAACCACGTGCTTCTGCTAGCTACGCTAAGGAGGCATCCTTCGTTCTTCTAATCACTGCAACAGATTTGCTCTGCTACCCATCCAATTTATATTAGTTTTTCTTGAACAAAGATGACACTAACAACATTCCAAACCAAAGTCTTACCGGTGTCTTGTACCACGATACTAATACAGCCCTGTTCCTACTCCAAATATATCGTCATGATGTATTCTGTCCCTTTTTCACAGTTGCACTGTAGTAATAGCTTATGGTCAATATAATATATGATCAATACACCCAAATATCTTTCTTCTTCTGTTGCTTCTGGTTTATAAAACCCATATTCACAGTAAGTATTCTTTATAAGGTCTTATTTAATTGGATGTGATTAGAATTGCAAGTAAGATCTATTCCTGCAACTTACTAACAAGAAGAGGAAGCTGTAGTCTTCCTATGTTTATAATCTTTAAGTACTCAAAAAATTATCAGAGGAAAACATGTTGCATTATAACCAACTCTATTGCCAAGCACTGGCAAATCATGCCTTTAAAATGAAACTGAAATGACAACTAAATAATAGTGAAAATAAAAGAACAGGGCATCAAGAGCAATACAAGTTTTCTGGGGCAATGGATTTTTATTTATATAAGCACCACGGAAATTAATCTCTTTGCCACTCAGAGTAGAGCCTTAATGTTTAACGTGTATGATTATATCTCAGTATCTTGAAGAGCACAGATGAGTAAATACTCGGTGTATAAACTTTATGACAGAGTTTCTCATCTGATCTCTGAAATAAATGAAGCAAAGTCTGTAATGAAAGGTAACATCTTTGTTAAACAAAATAATGTACTTGTAAAGAGGCAAACTTGTGGATCCCTAAGACCTTCATCAGGTTTCAAAAACAGATTTCAGTCTAGATACAGACTAGAGCTGGGTTACCTGAAGTTTGCTGCTGCTTTGTTTTTTTCTTGCGAAGGGACCACTGGTCTGAAAGCTGTTACTTTTCCAACTATCCCAGCTTGTCTAACAAAAGACCTTTCCCCTCGCTCTGTAAATCTTCCTTCCCTTATATCCTTACACCATCATAGATGCAACACTTCTACTGATACCTCACATGACATTTGGCTTTCCCCAGCTGTATAACTCGGTAACTGTTAAGTGAGACAATACTGGATTTTTGTAATAGTTATACTCCATGTAACAAGTAGTTCCTTACTTCAGCTAGTCTTCAGACTCCTTCAAGATCAGAAAGACATTAAAATCAGAAGCAGTTTACAAAAGGAAATGTCTACTCACCTTATTTTAAAGAATGCTTTTGCAGAAAATTTCACTGATAGAAAAGAAAGCTGAATATTTTGAATATCAACAAAAGTGACCCTATTGCCTTAATACTCAAGTGCCTCCAAATACAACAATCTTTGCAATTCTGCACAGGCATGACAGCATTATCTCCATTTTACAGAAGGCCAGCTGAGGCTGGGAAAGCCCACAGTGCCAGATTCATACAGTAGTACGCTAGCTCCATCTACACATCAAGGTAATGAGATACGAGCTAGGCTGGAAGACATTTAAATATGCTGACAACACAACTATATCCACTCTTAATACCTGCTTACTGACCAGAAAGTCTTCTGCCAGACTGACCAGAAAGTCTTCTGCTTACTAGACTACATGGCTTTCAGATAGAAGCTAGCTAGCTGGCGTTGCTGCCTTGTGAGTTCAGAGAGCAGATGGGGAAAATGCTTGACTATGTAAAGATCAAGTTGTTTAGACCCTCTGCCTTACAGCACACAAGCAAAAGCAGAGCAAGTTTCACCAAAAAATTAAACCTCATTTCCTCCCATGGAATTACTATAATTACAGACTTAATGACATGCACCAACCAAAAAATGAAACTGAACACATTATCTCACATGCAGAATGAACACCACAACTTAGGTGTGCAATTATATTTTGGCCTTTTCAAAGTTTTATTGTAGCTTCACTGCAGTATTTTAGGTCTTAAAAGCTGTAACCGTGTAACAATGTCAAGAGATGTTCCTGAAGAATTTCCATCAACTCAGTGATCCTCCAACTGGGGCAGGGAATATACCCTACACAAAATAATCCGTACAGTAGCATCCTTAAACCAGGTAGTCATATCAAAGTAAATCAACTGCCCTGAGAGATGAAGGACAGAGTTTTTTTATATAAAGGCTACAGTAAAAAGCAACTGGAAAAGAGACATAGTATTTTCTCTTTAAAGCATCATCATACAATTCATGTACATGCTGAACATAATTTAATATGCCTCTATATAAAGTTAATTATTTTTCTTTAGTATAATACTATGATATTTGCTTAATTGCATATAGTAATTTACATCAGGTAAACAGGCCAACAGAACTAGAAAACTCAAGTATTATTCATGCATGTATCTGTAAATCAAAGGACACCAACAAGTATCTTTTCCGGCAATTTCACCAATTAAGAAGAATTTTAAATCATTGTTCAGTAATAAGAAAAGCAAAAAAGATCTTGTAAGAAAGGCCAGTCATTCTAACATAGTTTTGAAAAGCAATCGCAACAACAACAAAAAATAACAGATGGAAATTCCTCCGTATAGTTACTGGTTTTACTATTACTACTATTTTTTTGGCATGGATAATTCCCTGCCAATCAGAAACTCTAACTTTCACTGCAAATCAGCTTGCTACTTCCTGTAAAGCATTTACCTGGTGGTTTGCCAGAACAAATATTTTAATGTAAAATTTAATAAATGGAACTAAAGGTATTACATCTAATTTAAAATTCCATATTGTGTAAACTATTGATATTAATGTAATTGAGTTTGTAAACAATCCATTTGTGGAAGCTAACCTTAGACACTGTATTGACCCAAAATATCTAGTGTGGCTCATCTGCAAAATGAAGCATCAATGCCTGGAATTCATTAAAAGTGTTACATGTTTAATTTTTCCTGCCCTACAGCTCCATTGTCTCGTAAAATTTTTCCTTTGATGTCCCCTACTAAAAGAATTAAAGGAATATTGTAATTGAAATGTCATTAATAATTCACAGGGCCCTCCTCCACCAGCAATACATCTGATGAAATATTAATTGAGCTCCACAGACTGACAGTCTGCAGAGAAGCACTTGCCTGTAATTTGAGCCACGAGTCCTGATCTTGCTGTAGCTCAGACCTGCCAAGAAGGCAATTATCTGGATGGTCTTGCCCAATCCCATCTCATCTCCCAGAATTCCTCCTGCCTGCTGGCAGTGCAATTCCCAGAGCCACCTAACACCTGTCTGCTGGTACCTAAAACAAGGAAAAAGAAGATGGCAAATGTTTGATAATACAGATCATAACAGAAAGTACTCATGAATTAATCATTTGGCAAGGTTCTAACGATAGTTACAGTAACATGCTGGATGTGTGTTTTACATGAGTGCTGTATTTACTAGGTCATACATTTTTGATGCACTCAGACATTACATGTGACTTTCATTCTTTATGCAACACAAACATTTCTAATTAAACTGATAGTCATGGTAATTGGAGAGTATTTTATTTCATGTATATTTTAAGTGTTAAAAGGAACTTGGAAAGCTACTCTAACAAAACATTATCTTTTCAGAAAAGATGACATGTAAGGGTTTAGTAAATTATATTATTTGGAACATATACCTTGAACTGAAGGACAAGCTTGACTTGTAAGGGATACAGACTTTTTACAGACTGTGAAAACTGATCACGTCTGCCAAAACATGTTTTTTTCTTACATAAATTCATTTAATAACATTTAGTCTCTTTCAATGAAGAAAAAAAGCCAACAAGGCAAAATGTTTTGGAAGGCAAAACAATAGAACCTATTCCAGTGAATGGGATGCAGTAGACCATTATTATGTGAGAGCATCAAGGCAGTTTCTACAACCAGCCATTCACTAGAAATTGTATAAGCTACAATGTAATATACATTCCAATGAAAAGAAGTAGACTAGAAAGCAAGATTTACAATGGCAAGCCAAAACTGACGAGTGGTGTCCCTCAAGGGTCGGTAT